CTTCTTGGCAGAATGGGGTTGGACTGGATGATGGCCCATGAGGTCTCTTCCAACTCTAGGATTCTATGACATATAAAATCCATATTATTTGCTTTGAAGTGGATTATGTGGCAGTAGAGACTGGCTCATATAATCCTGTTCAAAACAGATAATCTGGATTATATGGCTATGTAGAAGGGACCTCAAAGTATATAACTACTGTAATGTGAGCAGGTTTTTCCCCCTGAAAACAGTCAAGATTTGCAGAGTTGTAAGTGGGGTGAAAAGAGAGATGTATTTGATGGAAGTAGGACAAAGGCTCTAAAGATAGCAAAGTAATATGTTAAGGTGGCGGGACCTACATAGTCAATCTGGGTTATAGTAATTAGAATGAGGAAACTTAAGAGGAATTCAGGGGGCGCTGTGGTTTTCAATGTTGAATTCATTTGAATGGTTTTTAACTGGGGATTTTTATATTTCATCCTGTTTTAATCTTCGTATATATGTGTTTTAAATGGTTATTTAATTTAAAACAATTATATTCTGTCCATCTTCAACCTCAGCAAGATGGAGTGGGTGAGGGATTAGAGGACATCCAACCCCAAATTGGGAAACAAGTCGTCCAGGAATACCTGGAGTCCAAGTCCCCTTTCAGGGCCAAATCAACGACACCCAAGAGTATTGAAGGAACGAGCGGAAGTCATTTCGGACCCATTGGCAACCATCTTGGAGAGTTCTTGGAGAACGGGAGAAGTTCCAGCAGACTGGAGGAGGGCCAACGTGGTCCCAATCTTCAAGAAGGGAAAAAAGGATGACCCAAACAATGACCAATGTCCGGTCAGCCTCACGTCGATACCAGGCAAGATTCTGGAAAAGATGGTCAAGGAAGTGGTCTGCAAACACTTAGAAACCAATGCGGTCATCGCTAAGAGTCAACATGGATTTATCAAAAACAAGTCATGCCAGACTCTTCTGATCTCTTTTTTCGATAGAGTTACAAGCTGGGTAGATGCAGGGAATGATGCCGTGGATGGAGCATATCTGGATTTCAGGAAGGCCTTCTTTGACAAGGTCCCCCACGACCTTCTGGCAAGGAAACGAGTCCAAGGTGGGCGAGGCAAAACTACGGTGAGGTGGATCTGGAATTGGTTAAATGGACGAACCCAGAGGGTGATTCTCCCCAAGGCTTCCTCCTCTTCATCCTGGAAAGAAGTGACGAGCGGAGGGCCATCCGCAGGGTTCCGTCCTGGGCCCGGTCCTGATCAGGGTCTTTATTCATAACTGAGATGAAGGGCTAGAAAGCAGGATCATCAAGTTTGCAGACGACACCAAATTGGGAGGGAGAGCCAAGACTCCAGAGGACAGAAGCAGGACTCAAATGGATCTTGACAGATTAGAGAGATGAAGGGCCAAAACTAACAAAATGAAGTTCAACAGGGACAAATGCAAGATACTCCACTTTGGCAGAAAAAACGAAATGCAAAGAGACAGAATGGGGGACGATGGCTCGAGAGCAGTTCGTGTGAAAAAGATCTTGGAGTCCTCATGGGGAGGAAGTTAAACATGAGCCAACAATGTGATGTGGCGGCAAAAAAAGCCAATGGGATTTTGGCCTGCATCAAGAGGAGCCTAGTGTATAGATCTAGGGAAGTAATGCTACCCCTCTATTCCACTTTGGTTAGACCACATCTGGAATATTGTGTCCAATTCTGGGCACCACAATTGAAGAGAAATATTGACAAGCTGGAATGTGTCCAGAGGAGGGCGACTCAAATGATCCAGGGTCTGGAGAACAAGCCCCATGAGGAGCGGCTTAAGGAGCTGGGCATGTTTAGCCTGAAGAAGAGAAGGCTGAGAGGAGACATGATGAGGGCCCTGTATAAATATGTGAGAGGAAGCCACAGGGAGGAGGAGGGAGCAAGCTTGTTTTCTGCTTCCCTGGAGACTAGGACTCAATAGAGCAATGGCTTCAAACTATAAGAGAGGAGATTCCATCTGAACATGAGGAAGAACTTCCTTTTTAAAAAATATAATCTTTATTAAATTTTCATACACATATAAGAGAGTCATCCCAACACAGGGAAATGGGGTGGGAGGGGTATGGCTGGGGGTAGAGGTTCAGCTGTGGTCCCACATTTCTAGACACAAGTATGCTGATGAATATGCCTCAACGATTACATGACATCCAATTATGTCAGTCCTTTTACTCCCCTGCAAACCAACATACACCACAAGACAAAACACGACATAACAGAACTGGAATATTGTGCCCAATTCTGGGCACCACAATTCAAGAGAGAGATTGACAAGCTGGAATGTGTCCAGAGGAGGGCGACTAAAATGATCAAGGGTCTGGAGAACAAGCCCTATGAGGAGCGGCTTAAGGAGCTGGGCATGTTTAGCCTGAAGAAGAGAAGGCTGAGAGGAGATATGATGAGGGCCATGTATAAATATGAGAAGGGAATATGTCGTAGGGAGGGTGACTAAATGATCAACGGTCTGGAGAACAAGCCCTATGAGGAGCGGCTTAAGGAGCTGGGCATGTTTAGCCTGAAGAAGAGAAGGCTGAGAGGAGATATGATAGCCATGTATAAATATGTGAGAGGAAGCCACAGGGAGGAGGGAGCAAGCTTGTTTTCTGCTTCCCTGGAGACCAGGACGCAGAACAATGGCTTCAAACTACAAGAAAGGAGATTCCATCTGAACATGAGGAAGAACTTCCTGACTGTGAGAGCTGTTCAGCAGTGGAACTCTCTGCCCCGGAGTGTGGTGGAGGTTCCTTCTTTGGAAGCTTTTAAACTGAGGCTGGATAGCCATCTGTCAGGCTGATTTGAATGCAATATTCCTGCTTCTTGGCAGGGGGTTGGACTGGATGGCCCATGAGGTCTCTTCCAACTCTTTGATTTTATGATTCTATGTTTTTTAAGATGTGTGAATTTCTTTCTCCTCTTCCCACTTGGAATTCGAATCCTCGACCTGTCAGTCTTCAGTCCTGCTGGCACAATTTATTTATTTATTTGTTTATTTCAATTACTTTTACCCCGCCCTTCTCATCCCAAAGGGGACTCAGAGCGGCTTACAGACGAAGGCACAATTCGATGCCTGAATTAACTAACAAATAATACAGAAAGCAATTCAAACAGTTAACAAATTAAAAACATCAGTACATAGTAAAATAGCAAAACAATCTCATGCTCGGTGTTCAGAGTCCGTATGTCCATTCCATTCCATTCGTCCATGTTTGTCGTCAGATCTTCCTTTAGCTGCCAGAATGTCCAAAGGCTTGGTCCCAAATCCAGGTCTTCAATTTTTTCCTGAACGCCAAAAGGGAAGTCGCTGATCTAATCTCCCCGGGGAGTGAGTTCCACAGGTGAGGGGCCACCACTGAGAAGGCCCTGCTCCTCGTCCCTGCCAACCTCACTTGTGACAGTGGCGGAGTTGAGAGCAGGGCCTCCCCAGATGATCTTAAGCTTCGAGATGGGATGTAGAGGGAGATCCGTTCGGACAGATACACTGGGCCGGCACCGTATAGGGTTTTGTAGGTCAAACCAGCACTTTGAATTGTGCTCGGAATTGGATCGGTAGCCGGTGGAGCTGGCGTAACAGAGGGGTGGTATGCTCCCTGTACGCCGCTCCGGTGAGCAATCTGGCTGCTTCTCGCTGGACTAGTTGAAGTTTCCAAACAGTCTTCAAGGGCAACCCCATGTAGAGTGCGTTGCAGTAATCCAACCGGGATGTAACAAGAGTGTGGACCACCATGGCCAGATCTGACTTCCCAAGGTACGGGCGCAGCTGGCGCACAAGTTTTAATTGTGCAAAAGCTCTCCCAGCCACCGCCGAGACCTGGGGTTTGAACCACTGCGCCACCAAACAAAACACAGTTCTTGACTAATACAGAGAGTTGCAGATATTACGTTTAGTGGAAAGTTCTATATTGCTCTATATTGTTCACAATTGTTACATTTGTAGTGCAGATCTGTTCGTCATGGCTTTGAACAATGCACCAGAGTGCTATCTTTGGGTAGATAAAAGAAGAGTTTAAAAGGTGGTCGAAAGTGCAGCTGGGAAGGTCCAAACTCTCTTTCTGACCTCAGAAGAAAGAGGTGTAATTGGCAGTACGCAGCGTGCCAAAGAGCCCTCCACTCTTCCGTTGCCCTTTTCGGCATTCTGTTGATCTCCACCGTATTTCTTTCTCTCCCTTTGAAGCGTACCTTCAGTGCAACCAAGTCATGGGCTGGGGAGAGAAGGCGATTGAACTGCGGGCTGTGGAAACGGGAACCCTGGAAGGAGTGTTTATGCACAAGAAAGCACAGAAGCTGAAGTTCCTCTGCGAAAGGAACGATAAGGTATGACTTCTAAAGCGCTGTGGTTAGTAGGGTTGTGCATTTCGGTTAATCATAATAATCTATAGAAATTAAAATGTAATGTTCGTTTGTGGGATTAACAGAACTCAAAAACTACTGGATGAAATGACACCAAATTTGCATATATGCCTGTATGTCTGTATATATGTGGGTTTGTGTGTATATACTAAGGAGGCTGTCGAAGTCCTGAACCTGTGACGGTCTGGATGAGGGCGAACAAATTGAAACTGAATCCAGGCAAGACAGAGGTACTCCTGGTCAGTCGTAAGGCCGAACAGGGCATAGGGTTACAGCCTGTGTTGGACGGGGTTACACTCCCCCTGAAGACGCAGGTTCGCAGCTTGGGTGTGATCCTGGATTCATCGTTGAGCCTGGAACCCCAGGTCTCAGCGGTGACCAGGGGAGCATTTGCACAGCTCAGGCTCGTGCGCCAGCTGCGCCCGTACCTCGGGAAGTCTGACTTGGCCACGGTAGTCCACGCTGGTTACATCCCGTATAGACTACTGCAACGCTCTCTACGTGGGGTTGCCTATGAAGACTGCTCGGAAGCTACAAATGGTCCAACGATCAGCAGCCAGGTTGTTAACAGGAGCGGCACTCAGGGAGCACACCACTCCTCTGCTGCGCCAGCTCCACTGGCTGCCAATTTGCTACCGGGCACAATTCAAAGTGCTGGCTTTAGCCTTTAAAGCCCTAAACGGTTCTGGCCCGACCTATCTGTCCGAACGCATCACCCCCTATGAACCAGTTAGGACATTAAGATCGTCCGGGGAGGCCCTGCTCTCGATCCCGCCAGCCTCACAAGCACGGCTGGCGGGGACGAGAGACAGGGCCTTCTCAGTGGTGGCCCCTCGGCTGTGGAACGCCCTTCCCGCAGATATTAGATCGGCCCCCTCCCTGCTGGCGTTCAGGAGAAGAGTGAAGACCTGGCTCTTTGAACAGGCGTTCAATTAAGCAGTGCAATCAATTGACTGAGTTTGGAACTTGGAACTTGGAATAATGGACGAGGAGATCGGATTATGATTTTACTGATGAGACGTGTTGGATTAGTTATATGGATGTATTGACGTCATGTTGATTTAATAATATATTTATTTATTTATTATTTATTTATTTACTGCATTTATTGACCGCCGCTCTCAGCCCTAGGGCGACTCGCGGCGGTGCACAACATATAAAAACAGTTTACAAAAAGGGCAAAACAGGGAATCAATACAACAATAATACACTATAATCTAGTTACACTAAATAATCCGCTCCGTCACATCATAGAATCATAACCAATATCGTAATCCGTATTCCGTTCCAGTTGTCAATTACCAGTTGCCGTAGCGCTCAGTTGAATGCCTTCTCAAATAGCCAGGTCTTCAGGCTCTTACGGAAGGACAGAAGGGAGGCGCCTGTCTGATGTCAGCAGGGAGGTCGTTCCACAGCCGGGGGGCCACCACCGAGAAGGCCCTTTCTCTCGTCCCCGCCAGACGTGCCTGTGAAGCAGGCGGGATCGAGAGAAGGGCCTCCCCAGACGATCTCAAGGTCCTCGTGGGCTCATAGGCCAAGATGCGGTCCGAAAGGTATTTTGGGCCGGAACCGTTTAGGGCTTTGTAGGATAGCACCAGCACCTTAAATTGGGCCCGGTAGCAAATCGGCAGCCAGTGGAGCTGGAACAGCAAGGGCGTTGTATGCTCCCTGCGTCCCGCTCCTGTTAGTAACATGGCTGCTGCATTGATGTCATGTTGATTTACTGATGTATCGTTGTATTGTTTTAGTTGCTTTAGTTATTGTTTAAATGTTAATGCTAATGCTGTGCACTTTGTATATTGACCTGTTGTAAACTGCACTGAGTTGCCTGCAGGCTGAGATAGTGCGGTATACAAATAAAGTAAATAAATAAATAAATAAATGTGGATTTGCGCATGTGTTGTAATGTATTTTTTATTTTGTGGCTTTTTAAGTCCCTTCTGATGTGACCGTATCTCTCTCCACGTACCAACCCGGGCCCTTAGATCTTCGGGGGAGGCCCTCCTTTCACCCCTACCAATCTCACAAGCTTGTCTTGTGGGCACAAGGGAGAGAGCCTTCTCCTCTGTGGCTCCCCAACTTTGGAACTCATTACCTGGAGAGATCAGGAAAGCCCCTTCTCTAGAAACGTTCGAAAAGAACCTTAAAACCCGGCTTTTCCGCTGCGCCTTTGGCGAGTAGGTGCACAATATGACACCATTGCACCCCTCAACGCTCTTCCCACTGGAATACACGCCCTCCAAATGGGAAGTTTAGCTTCACAATGTGAAGGAGCGTAAAATTACTGCCACCAAATCTGTGAGGAAGCCGGGCAGTGATCAGTATCAGCTTAAGAGTTGGTTTATAAAGGGACTATTAATTACAGAAGGATTTATTCATTTGATAGCGTAGCGTTTACTGTCCCTGGTTTGGTTTTACTTCTTATGCAGGCTGTTTGGCTTAGGAGTAAAGGTAACAGAGGCAAGGCTTGTAAAAAGAACAGTAACAAGTTTTATTAGAATATAACCGATTCAATGTTTCTTCACTAGAAGGCACAAACTTAATTGGTTACATTAGTAAGGTTTCATGAGTAACTTTAGGTACAGACTTTAAGAGGTTTCTGTAAGCAGATATCTTTCCTGGACAACTGTCCTAATAAAACAAATAAGCTAAAAGGCTTATTTAACAGAATTGGCTCCCAGCCAAACCTTGATTCTTAACCAAGAATCAATCACCCTGTAGCTTTATCACTACCGGGTCCTTTCCTGTAACCCTTTTGGTCACAAATTAGTTCCCTGAATCTCCCACCAGAGATTTCAGTCTTCTCTGTAACTCTAACGGTCACAGACTAGTTCCCTGAATCTCCCACCAGAGATTTCAGTCTTCTCTGTAACTCTAACGGTCACAGACTAGTTCCCTGAATCTCCCACCAGAGATTTCAGTCTTCTCTGTAACTCTAACGGTCACAGACTAGTTCCCTGAATCTCCCACCAGAGATTTCAGTCTTCTCTGTAACTCTAACAGGTCACAGACTAGTTCCCTGAATCTCCCACCAGAGATTTCAGTCTTCTCTGTAACTCTAACGGTCACAGACTAGTTCCCTGAATCTCCCACCAGAGATTTCAGTCTTCTCTGTAACTCTAACGGTCACAGACTAGTTCCCTGAATCTCCCACCAGAGATTTCAGTCTTCTCTGTAACTCTAACGGTCACAGACTGCCTATTTCAAACAGATGTGCAGTTAGGTGACAGTTGGCTCCACCCCCGTTGCTATGGCAACTCAGCTCAAGCCAAACCAGCCACCATCTCTAACAAAATATAATCCTACATACTTACCATTTATTAACTACTGTTTAAACAACACATAACCATAGGAATAAAAATACACATCGTCACACACAACTATGTATGTTTTTACTAGTTCCCCTGCAGATAACTTGCTCCTATTTTTATCTCATTAGTCTTAGAATAGTTTTTATCCTGTACATGTGGTCCGCCCATTGTTATTGTGATTGTGCCTATTGGAATGTTATTTTATGACTGTGTTTATATATATTTTTCTTGATGTAATTTGATGATGTTGTTTATTGTTTATGCTCTGGTTTTATTTTGTTGTAATATGTTGTCCGGGCTAGGCCCCATGTAAGCCGCTCCGAGTCCCCATCAGGGAGATGGTGGCAGGGTATAAATAAAGATGATGATGATGATGATGATTACTATTATTCAGTGTTTTTTTGAGTGATGGTTACTACTTGGCCTGATAGATGTCTTGTGTCCAAATTTGGAGTCAATTCGTCCAGTGGTTTTTGAGTTCTGTTAATCCCACAAACGAACATTACATTTTTATTTATATAGATAGATTCTACACTATTGAGTGTATTTAATATAGTAATATATAATAATTAATATTCATTAATTAGTTCTTAATTTAATTATTTATCTATAATTTATTAATTAAATACTTTATTTAAAATATTTACGTCTCTTCTTCATTAATTAATTATCTAAAATATTTCATCAATAACAATTATTTACATATTATGATGTATATTTTAAATATTATATGTTTATTATTTAATTGAATACCTATTTAATTCGCTATTATCTTTATTTAATTATTAAATTTTTACTTTATTCTATATTCCTACTATAACTTCATTCAATTTTATTTAAATGAACTAGTATATAATTTCATTCCTATTTGCTCAAAGCTGATTCTTATATATTTAATTAATCATTAACTTTTTTTTTTTTTCTTCTTTTTAATCATATAATTACTTATATAAATTTAATTACTTAAACATCTTTTATTAACTAAATATTTCTATCCTACTTGCCTTCTATAATCTTTCATTCTTAATTCTATTATTTGCTTCACACCTGTTCTTCTACCTTCTAATTATTCATTAATTTGTTCTTTCATTCTTCCTTCCTTAATTAACTTTATTCAATGTACAAAAAAATTTTTCTTCCCTAACTTCGGTTGATGACCCTTAATTCTTCTCTTACTCTTTCTTCATACTTATATACTTTGAACATTTTCTATTTTCTTCTTCTTCTCTTCCTTTCTTCCTCCTTCTTCTTCTTCTTCTTCTTCTTCTTCTTCTTCTTCTTCTTCTTTTTCTTCACCATCTCTTTCTCTTCTCCCACTCCTTCTCAGCTTCCTATTTCCTCTCCTTCACTGTCTCTTCCTTCTTTTTTCATCTCCTTCAAGCTCTCCTCCTCCTTCCTCTTTCTCCTACTCCTCTTTCTTCTTCCTTCCTTCCTCTTTCCTTCCTTCCTTTGCTCTTTGCTTCCATGCTTCTTTCTTTCTTTCTTTCTTTCTTTCTTTCTTTCTTTTTTCTTTTTTTCCTTCTTCCTTTTTCTTCTTTTTTTTATCTTCATTTAGATTTTCATTACGTCATTCTTCTTTGATTACCATGCTTAATTCTCCACTTTCACTTAATCATTTAAATTGTTTTTCGTTCTTCTATAATTAATAATTAT